TATGCCATACTCACCTGCGGTATATGGCATATTCCGCAGGTGAGTATGCGATATTCCGCAGTGAATATGCGATACATTGATTTCAGTGAATACCCGATATGCCATATACCGCAGGTGAAAAGTTGATACAGAAAGCCTTGATTTGATTGGTTGCGAGAATCGACTCTAAATGTAAAACTACGCTGGATTACCAATATAGTTAGTGCGTCGAGTACTAATACATAAATCCTGGATTGATTGAGTAAGTTTATTACGAGAGATTGGTGACTGATACTTTTGCTAAGTTAATGAATTCGATACATAGTACTGTTGATTCAGTAATCATTATAATAATTTATAACGTTTTACTTGTTCGTTCAATCGATGTAATTGACAATTCCGTACTTCCGTATCACGTTCTCATTGGTTTTGTATGCCATATACCGCAGGTGAATCAAGGGCGTTACAATACCCGGGAATTTATCGGTTCGTGCAGTACTTGTTTGTGATAGCGCCCTCTGTAGGTCACTGTGCTTATAGCCTACAGTAATACGGGGTAGGATATCGGGAATTCGGTCAGTTTCTATCCGTCGATTTCGCTATGAATTGAAGCAAGTGTGACCACTTTATCCACTTAACTAATTTGATAATTGATTAAATCTTTAAACAAAATCGATAAACACGTTATACACTTCCTATCTCCTTAAAAATTAGCATGTATTTATGGATTGTGTTTTCGAACAAGGCTCGACCCACACCAATAGGGAAATCCTTATGCTAATTAGTATGACGTCATATTTTCCTGGGGAATCCTAGATTTCAAAGCCTCAGTCTGTTATTGTGTCAAATGTAAACGCTCTTTTGCAGACAGAAAATTGACAGATTAGCTTTTAACTTTCAGCCTTGATGTTTAAATATTCTGTATTTCTACCGGATCCTTGCTGAATATCATATAATGTTACTTGATTTGGACCATTGCCTGATTGATCATTCTGAAATTTTGATTGTGATTCATGACTGATTGGCAAGAAAAATAATTCCTATTGTTTTCCAGCGAAGTCAAAATGTTACAGCATGAGTTATAATGTCGAGTTTGCATCATGTTAAATTCTGCTAGTGATTAGAAGTCCATGCACAAGCATACACATAAGAGACAAACACACCCAGGCTCCAGGCCGTGGATGGAAATATAAAACTATTTAAGGCACAAACTGGTATTAATAGACCGATATGTAGTGTCTGCCATGTATTGAAGGTAAACCAATCTGCATTATTAATGTTTCATCTATCAATACATGGATTGTGCAATGGAAAAGCAATGGCACAATCAAAAATGTGCATATCAATCGTGAATATCTCTCGGTTCAAAGCTTATTTCCAACAGAATCGTGTCAAAATATGTGTCTGAGTAACAGTTATACGTTATAAAATTGCAAACTCTTACCAATTATCAGCCGAATGGCTCATTTTCAACGAAATGTCCTTAAGACAGCAGCCCTGGGTCGCGCCTGAGACCAAAAACTATTTCAAATAGCCCTCCCCTAATTATATTGGATAATCACATTTATGCGTGCGCGCGCAGCTCATCCACTGAACGAAACGCCACTTCCCGCTGAAATCACCGGGTATTGATCTTTCCCTTGGGTGAATCTGTCATACACCGTAAGTAAATATGCCATATTTGTTGCGGAATATGACATATTTTTGTATCGTGTTACCGCGTAACAATTGTGTTCGTTTTAGTATGGCTGGACTTCCGGTTGATAATAGTTTTTGTTTTCACGATTTTTATCATCTTGAAAGTTTTTTTGATGGTGTTATCTCGTTCACGCCATGTGCCTTGTTAATTGATCTTATAAAAAAGAATGTTTCATTTTTTGTTTCGGGAGCAGTTTTGTATTTCATATTTGAAACTGCTCCCTAAAATTTGGATAATTTTGACATTATTTTTCATAAAAAGATTTTAAAAAACGAATACATCTAAATGTCATTAATACTTTCAGAGTTATGCTGATCATTATATGTCACTTTATCGTGCCAATGAAAGTAAAAAAGAAATGGTACATTTAATTGAGAGTATGATAAATTGGTTTAAAGAAAGCTTTTTGAGGCTTTGATTTGAACAGCTAAACTGATTTAATTTTACAGTGCTAGAGTGTGATAGGTGTTAGTGATGTGTCGATTGCCAGTGTGGTGTGGGTCAAGGTGCAAGAATTTAGTCATATGTAGCATGTCAATTTATTTATTTATTCCATTAATTAAAAAGGATACAACTGAGGTAAGTTACAAACGCTACGGTGTGGCTCACAATTCTGTTGGGCTATTTTGTGACTAAAATCACCATGTAATACTTTCTAAAATAGACCTACATGTAATATGATTGTTACGCTATGTAATTAAAAATGATTGATTCAAAGGAGTGGTATCGATCTGGTGAACTTTTTGAACACGCGTTTCTCTTACTATCAAAACATCCTGAAAAGTCTACACATCGTCGATTTATGGTCATATTTTGAATGATAACATTATAATTTGAATTATGTATGCTTATTTTTCTCTATATTGTTTTAGAAAACACACCAGACACTTTTTTCGTTCTTGGTATCATATGTTCGGTATGAAATGAAACATCTATCCGAACCTCGTTGGAACAAAACGACTTAAACACAACGTGGTCTCTCAATATTGTAATTGTACAAAGGAAAGTTTGCTTCATTTTTAAAAAGTATCTTGCTAATGAAATAAAAGGTTTATCTATTTTGGGGGGTTTGTTTTAAGTTTTTGCATGCTTTTGGTAAATCAACCAAAATTACCTTTGTATAACAATAGTATTGAGAGGTCTAAGAAAATGTTGTATATGCTATTTTGTTCCAACAAGGTTTGGAAAGACATTTTATTTCATTCTCAAGAATTGGTAGAAAGGAACAAATAAACAATTGCACTAAAAAAAACAATGTTAACAAAAACAGTTATATAGAATATATATTAATAATTTTTGCATTAAATTGTTGCCAATCAGTCAACGTTACATAAAGGATCGTGTTTTTTACAGAATGTTTTCAATAATTGGTTTTAGAGAAAAACATTGTTGAATTCAGTTCACCATATCGATACCTATCCTTTACGGTGTAGAGTTGAAACTCAACGTGCGTTCTTTTTAACTCACTGTGTTTGATTGATCAGTATACCAAATTAAGCGTGACACTTGAACGAGCGAGTAAGGTACAGCACGAGGGTGATGAAATTAAGCCAACTGATGTTTTCGTCGTTTCAGAAAGATCTGAGGTTTAGTTTTTAAATAGTTTCAAATGTAAATGTCTGTAATAATCGAAGCCGAAATGAAAATCGGAGCAAATGTGACCAAGGCATAACTTTCGATTCTGAGAAAAGCATTGCAATACTTTTTGACGAACAATGACTTGCGAACTAGTCGTAAGTTACGACGGTTTCAAAAAACGGACCCCTTTTTCGAACTCGATAGGCGAGTAATGACGGCTGATCTGTGACTTCATAGGGGTCAGGGTGGGAGTTTTGGACCGGGGAGATTGCAAATATAGAGGTGTTTAGCTGGAACCCTGCCATCTCACGAACTAATTCTGTCGTAAAAACTTGGCTTGTATTCGCGAATGCAACTTTCGGCTTTCGGCTACTGAATTAACCTACTATTTAATGGTCAAATGTTAAATATGAATAGCATAATGTAGCGGTTACTATTCCAGTCATATTTAATTAAGTTGGTAATAGAATAGTAGGTTAATCCGGTAGCCGACAACCGAAAGTTGCATTTGGTCGTAAAAACTAAGATTATCAGAAAGATCTGACTAAAAAGTTAGGTAAAGTGTCACGGAGGGGAGATCTGATAAATCTGAATACAGGTTCGTGACAAATGACAATGTACATTTTACCTACATTGTACATCTGGTTGAATTATCTAATCTCGCCTTCCTGATAGCTGGAAATATTTTTCAAATATCAGGATGTATTTTCATATGGACATGTAGACAAATGCGAACTGCAAACATTGAATATTCTCATTTTGCCTAAAGCCTAGGTCACATTTGCTCTACGGCGACCGTAGGTTTAAAATATATGTAGAAAATTCACATCATAGGGCTTATCCCTATGTTTTATGCTACGTATAATTCTCTCAATCTTGTGAAGCAACGGGCGCCGTACGGTTGTTATAGATCAAATCTGACCGAGGCTTTAGCAATGAAATTCCCTTTTCAACAATTTGAATTTGCGTCTTTGAAAGAGAGTATTTTATTTCCCCATTGCACTAAACACTGCCATTCAGTGTCATCAACATATTTAAAAACTTAAATATGTTCACTGATGTCCGAGAAGGCCACATGCAAATAATTAAAGAAGACAACAGAGATAAACAATTTCACAATTTTCCAATACACTCCAACCTTTAACCCTTACGCAATTAAATGTAGGCAAAATCACTGAGGCTTTCAACCCCATATTGCGTTGAATCAGTGTGTCGGATGAAGATGGTCAACCAAGCGTTTATGTATTTTATACTTAATACTGTAAATATAACAGTATAACATACATACAAATCATTTGATCATTTTAAGGGCGTAACACGGAAGGACTCGGGATAAATCATACCACATGGAGAAAAGCTAAAGAATTGGGACTTTTACATGTGCAGTCAGCTGAGATGCTCTGGCCACGGTGTTCATTTGATGCAATTTTATGTTAAAAGCTTAAATGTGTCGAGTATCAAAATGAGTTTCAAGTTGAAACTCATCGTGGTAGCTTAGTGACGTTAAAGAAGAATCAGCAGTAGACATCACAATAACAGGTTCATTGCGGATCGATTTAGCTCCCGATTTCCATCCGGATAGCTCGATTTTAGTGAGTTTCACCACAATTAATAAGTCTTTTTACAGGCTAAACTACAGAACAACATATAGGCAGACATCAATCTCTTGTAGTATTTTATAAACTAGTTAAAATGAATTATCGACCGATATTTCTGATTTTAATTGTTTTGGCTATATTCATTTGCTTCGTCATGTATACATCATCACTCTACAGAGCTGATGTCTCAGAGTATCTGATGAGAACACGTTTTTCTGACGTTGTGACTACCAATTCAGCTGTATTTCTACGTAATAAAACAGACGTGATACTTCCAACAAACAAAACAAATAAACTGACCATAAAAACTGAAGAAAGTTTAACAAAGAAATCAGATGTGATTATGATATTACTATGGTCGAAATGTATGGGTCATGCATGCATGCCAGCTGGGATATATGGTGATGCTGATTTTAAATGTGAAGTAACCGAAGATCGTTCCAAAATAAAGGAAGCTCAGGCTGTGATGTTCCATACGTGCATTTTGAGTAATGTGGCCGAGGTAGGACTTCCAACGTACCGATCGGCCAATCAGAAATGGATATTCAGATGTGCGGAGGCGCCAGCCAAAGGTGCCAAGTCCACGCGCAAGATACCTTTGAAATTCTTAGAGCTGCAAGACGCGTTAAAAGACGCGTTTAATTTTACAATGACAACTAGGTTGGATTCTGATTATCACACCTATCATGGATTGTACAGTGTAAGTAGTGTTGCTGTTAACATCGATCATATTTGGTCGTATAACAAAATTGATAGGGGTGACCAGTTATTGGGGTGTAAGACTATTAGAGTATTTGCGTTACGTTGAGTTTGCAATAAGATACACCGTAAATCGATTTTCTTCGCATTTGAACACAGGGCTATATTGTAGTTGTCTTGAAGGTGCTTAGGGGTTTAAAGGGCTATATTGTAGTTGTCTTGAAGGTGCTTAGGGGTTTAACAGGGCTATATTGTAGTTGTCTTGAAGGTGCTTAGGGGTTTAACAGGGCTATATTGTAGTTGTCTTGAAGGTGCTTAGGGGTTTAACAAGGCTATATTGTAGTTGTCTTGAAGGTGCTTAGGGGTTTAACAGGGCTATATTGTAGTTGTCTTGAAGGTGCTTAGGGGTTTAGCAGGGCTATATTGTAGTTGTCTTGAAGGTGCTTAGGGGTTTAACAGGGCTATATTGTTGTTGTCTTGAATGTGCTAAAGGGTTCAACAGGGCTATATTGTTGTTTTCTTGAATGTGCTTAGGGGTTCAACAGGGCTATATTGTTGTTGTCTTGAATGTGCTTAAGGGTTCAACAGGGCTATATTGTTGTTGTCTTGAAGGATATGTTAAGTCATAGTTCATGGTATGACTCCGAAACGTGAAGAATCCGTTGCTCACTATAGCACAGCAACATTTGAAGCAATATTCAAGGAGGTACATACGAGTATGTCTTGATTTAAAAAACAAAAACATTAGCTCTTGCAAGGGGTCAAACAACAAATTGTTGCTTAAGGATTTAAGCCCTTGACTCACTGCGTTGTTTGCTGAATCTTACCATGAATGTGTTGTTTCCAAATCTTTGCATGACCGCACAATGGGAATGCAAAGTTAAAGGGACACTTCGCGTATTTTCAATGTTTTTGGGCAAAATGAAGACTTTTATTTGAATTCTATAGAATATCCAATGTATTGATAAGAAATGTATCTTTCATTTGACACCATCAACAGCTCAAACGGGCCACATCAAACCTTACAATAATTAATCAAAAAAAACATTTTCGATCTTTCAAGCTTTATATATCAAGTTTTTATCAATGTCATTAAAAGATGGCAAAGTTGTTTGTATTACATGATACATTCAAAGAGGAGGGAAAGCCCCAGAGTTTCGAGATGACAGACATAATTACCTCTCTTGCTTACCACCTTCGTTCGTTCGAATTTTCATCGGCTAGTTATCAAATACTACACTTCGATGGGATGTTATAATTGATATAGGCATATTCCGTACACCTTTCTTTATCTTGATGTGAAATGAGATGCTATGATATTGGTTAACACGCCAGAAATGAACATAATATTATTCGAAGCGTATTCATTTTTATAGAAGTGTCGCCATCTTTTAAATCAAAAGTAATTAAAAACATGCACTTTGTTTAGCATGTGCATGCATGTCTAATGATCTCTGGACTTCAAATGCTCTTTTCTATGTGAGTTATTTTTTCCTTGGTTCAATATTAAAGCAAATCAAACTTTGTTTCATATTTGAGCGAGTGTGTGAGTAATATGTTTCAATGATATTTCTTTTCTTTTTTCTTCTAAATTAAGTATAGTGGGCCTAAATAAAACGCCTGAGTGGAACTAACCATCTACAATTGGGTTTTGGGCTTAAATTCTTTTAACACAATGCAAAATATTTTCTACAAAATCATCTAAGATACAAAATCAATAAAAGAACATATTTTCAATGAAACTTTTTCCAAAGGTCAAGTATTGGCAAAGCTTCAATTTAAAACTCATCACCTTAACAACCATACAAAACAAATGCGTTATTGATTATTTCATGACTGCTGTCATGTGAACGTACTGTGTTCGGATTGGCTGGAATGGGACACACCTTGCCTAGCCAATTATATTTTATAAATCCTAAAACAAGCTATATTACTACGGAAAATATCATTTTGTTGTTCAAAACAACTGTGTTACGATTTAAGAGTAGCCGAGATTTGTTCTTGCAAACGACATGATCAAAAAATATTTTTAACCAAATAGCGATGTTGAAATGCATCTGAATTGCTATTTCGAAAATAATTCCGACATTCCATTACAGGTTAATCCGGATCCTCCAAAGGTTCTGCCGGATTACGCACAGGGGAAGAGCAAGCCTGTGGCTTGGATAGCCTCTCACCACTGTGAGTCACAAAGCAGACGAGAGCTATATGTGCAAAGACTACGGGAGCATATTGAAGTAGATGCATACGGCGGCTGTGGGTGGCTTACATGTCCTGATCCAACGAACAGAGCTGTATGTCAGCGTCATGTCGGTATGTATTACTCATTTCGAGAGCCATGTTAGATTTTGAAACTTATGGCTCTCGAACGGGGACATGGGACAGCTGAATAATAGTGACCTTTGAAACACGAATTGAGTCGATCAGCGCCGATCAGCGCCTTACTTTTGTTCTTTAACTATGTCATACATCATTTTCATCCTTCCGTGCAAGTATTGGAGCGCTGTAGTACTTCCTTTTCGACCAAGACTTGTAATTGTTAGTCGAGTGAAAGTTTCTTTTCTGCCCAATTCCAATATGGCGTTTTCTGCTCGGACATTTTCGTAAATCTCCGGAGGTTGTCCGAACCTAACTCATTCTCAAAATTCATTTCGTTCGTTGCGTATCTCGCTCCTAGCAGACCGCCATATTGTAAATGGGTCGAAAAAAACATCCACTCGACGAACAATTTACAAGTCTTGATCGAAAAAGAAGTATTTCAGCGCTCCAATACTTGCACGGATTGATGATACCGACGGAAGACACAGTTAGAGACCAAAAGTAAGCCACTGATCGACGCTGATCGACTCAATTCGTGTTTCAAGGGTCACTATTATTCAGCTACCCAAATGCGCCGTGGGAAAGCTATTATATCAAAATCCACATAGCTTTCGCAGTAAGTAAGGTATGTATTATTGTTTGTTTTAGTCTAGCTTTTATGAGCCTTCCGTCACTAGACACTTCCCCACAAGGTCTAGTATTCTTTTCGTTCAACAACTTAAACCAAGTCTTAATTATTTCCTATTGGTTCAACAAGTTTAAAGTTAATCCAGCTTATTCATTAATCTGACTTTTAATAGTTACTGCTGGGGCCGGATTAATGTAAGTTACATCCGAGGTATGTTTTTATAGGTCGCAACTTTTGGATTGATGGAAACCAATTTCCCTCAATAGTGCTACAGATACTTGACGATAATATAAAAACTACTAAAATGAAACGATTCCACGTAACAATGTTTTATTTTGTAGCATTATTATGGTGAAATATAGATCGTCAAGCCTTTATAAAGAGGATTTTTCATTTTGACACAATTTTGCATTTTATTTGTGAAATTCCCAGATTTTCTTTTTGTTTAATAGAAAATTGATATCTTGATTTACCTATCAGATATTAGTATAAATCATGGCCTTATGGAATGTCCTGTAAATAAAGCATAACTAAACGGAAATATACTAGTATTAATAAGTATTTTTTTAATTCCACGATAGAAAATATTGAATCTACCAGGTTGGCAAGGGCCAAAGCAATTTTAAAACAAAACAATCAATTTCCAGGTGCAACGTACAAGTTCTACCTAGCGTTTGAAAATTCTGATTGTCGAGACTACGTCACTGAGAAGGTATGGAAGAATTCATTTTTGATGAACACAGTTCCGATAGTGCGTGGATACTACAGCAATTTCAAGTCAATCCTACCACCAGGCTCATATATTCACACCAACGAGTTCCCAAATCCCAAAGCACTTGCGAAATACCTGAAATACTTGGACAAGAACCACACAGCTTATAATGAATACTTGATGAATAATGAATACAAATGGAGGCTTACATACAAAATTGATAGTACATCTTCTAAAAGAAATTGGGGAAATGGTTTGTGCAGAAAATTACACGAAACGAAGGGACAAACCAAAACATATAAAAATATTTGGAAAGAGTTTTACTCATTTGACAATAATTGCTACAATTATTATGATATTCCTCTCAACAAGTTTGACAAATAAGTTAAGACCTTACTTAAAGCACCTTACTTAATGTTCCAAACAATCGCATCAAATGTTCAACAAAATAATGAAAACAAGTTTACGGAATAAAAAGCTATGACACATGTTAACAATTGTATATTAGAGTAGGAGGGAAATTAGTGCAACAGATTTCAGACAGTCATATGTTTGGCTACTTTCTGAGGATTCAAACAGATGCATATGTCATATGCCAATGCATTACCTCCAGGAAAAGCACTTCTAGAGATGATAAAATAATTTCGACTTTGAGACTGGGCAGATGCAAACAACCCATCCACATGGATATCTTTAAAATCCCTGTAGGAATTACTTATTTCTTAAAAGTGGTTAATTGTGTGTCAAAACACAACATATTGATGCAACAAAAATTAAAAAGCAGGGGTGGAAGGAGGTGGAAATCAGAACAAGATTTCAGAAAAAACATGTGGATGGGTTGTTTGCACCTCCCCTGTCTCAGAGGCCTACCATATGGACCTGTTTGAGCCATATGCACCTTTTTGAGTCAGTCATGGTTTATGTTAAAGTAACACACAGACGATGTATCTATAATCTAAAACCCCAAAAAGCAATAGATGTGACTATATGTTATATAGAAAGAGATGTAAAAATATATTATGGGCCAGAGATCAATAAAAAAAGACAATAATCTTTGCCATGACCGGGATTCGAACCACCAACTTTTAGTCGGACCGCTGCACCAGATTAATAAAAATAGTCAACAACATGGTAATCATATACCGTCATGTCTTAATTTTAAATGTTATTTATTTTATTTTGAATATAGTTTCAAATATCAACGTATTGAAACTTCATCTTCAAGCTTTTAAAGAATGTTAACAAACATAAGGTCTACATGATGAATCAAATAAAATAATGCATGCAGTTGTCATATTCGAAAAAAGAAATAGTAGTCATGTGTCACTTATCCTAGATCGACGTATGACTAAGTCTTTCAGAGAGATACATTGCATATGGTAATCAGTGTATTCTGAAATTATTTCCACAAAAATGGAATACTAGAAGAATTATAAGACAAAAAAAGTAACATCAAGAAAAACGAAGATTTGTATCGTTCTTGTTTTACCCAATATTTTGCCTACCACTTAAGTTTTCCTTGATATGGAACCAGTCCATTCAATTTTCTTTATTGGTCTCTAGTAGCAAATCCATCCCACTGCTTCAATTTTACACAAGGCATTGACATGCAAAATGTTAACCACCAATCATAGTTACAACGCCACACCTGGTTTTCAATATAAATAGCATAATAGTAGGTGGGTTAAATACATTTGAACTTCATTTTATGATGCAAATGTTCCATTTGGTATGGGAGTACCTTAGGGCAATAGAGATTGTAAGGAATAGATTGGTACGTCAATTGTACATGTTGCTTGTAATTTTGTCACCCCCATAATTATAATCTGATTCTGCCTTTATACATGACAGTATAGAATGTGAATCTATCTTTCCATGTTCGTTTTGACTCAGATACTCGTCATCCAAGAAATAACGGAGCCTCTTTAATAACTTGCAATTAATATGCACCTGCAATGGTAGTGCAACTTTAGTTGATGCAATGGACCATACATAAGAGAGGAATGTGATAAATAGAAACCACCCAGGACAGACACTCCAGTGGTGAGAACGTGTCAGAAACCTTCTGGCGAGCGAAAATCTTATCTCCTCCCACCAAATCATACATATTGCCCCTGTTTTGGTCTTCCACTATTCCCCGGGTTAGTGTGTTATTAAGCTCCCCAACCAACTAACCAACCAATCAATTGCCTTAACCCAGGCCAGACAACAGTGATCAGCCACCACTCCCCGCACTTGCGAAGAAACGTGAAATTATCTAAGCTTGTATCTTGCTAGAGTCTTTCCTGGTAACACCGAGATCAGTACATACAGTAGAGACACTACAAAGTGTCTGAATACTGGCTTGATGGCAGTGACTGGATAGTAGGCCTTACCACGGTGTTACAGCATGACGGTTACGTTTTTGCGGTAACGATAGAAAAAAATGGCGGATGGGAAAGGCAGCATGTCCTCTTTCTCGCCTGTAGGCAATATTCACAGATGAGGTTTCCTTTTAATATGTAGATATTTATCTCTTGATAATTGTCTCTTGATAATTTGAGGAGATTTGTTTGTGTGTTAATCTGCTTGATTGCTTATTTGTTTTATGTAGTGGTTCTTACTATAAAGCACGGTGGTCTGTCTGCCTGCCAACATGTCGTTCAGGCTGTAAGCCTGTCGTTCTGACTGCCAGCCTATCGGTCTGCCAGGCTGTCCGTCTGTCACCCTGTCGGTCTGCCAGCCTACCGGCATATCGGTCTGTCGTTCTGTCTGCCAGGCTGTCGTTCTGTCTGCCAGCCTGTCGGTCTGCCAGCCTGCCAACATGCCGGTCTGTCAGCCTGCCAGCCTGTTGTTCTGTCTGCCAGCCTGTGGTTCTGTCTGCCAGCATGTCGTTCTGTCTGCCAGCCTGTCGGTCTGTCAGCCTGCCAACATGCCGGTCTGTCAGCCTGCCAGCCTGTTGTTCTGTCTGCCAGCCTGTGGTTCTGTCTGCCAGGCTGTCGTTCTGTCTGCCAGCCTGTCGGTCTGCCAGCCTGCCAACATGCCGGTCTGTCAGCCTGTCAGCCTGTTGTTCTGTCTGCCAGCCTGTGGTTCTGTCTGCCAGCATGTCGTTCTGTCTGCCAGCCTGTCGGTCTGTCAGCCTGCCGACATGCCGGTCTGTCAGCCTGCCAGCCTGTTGTTCTGTCTGCCAGCATGGTTCTGTCTGCCAGCATGTCGTTCTGTCTGCCAGCCTGTCGGACTGCCAGCCTGTCGGTCTGCCAACCTGCCGGTCTGTCATGATCAGTCTGTCTGTCTGTCTGTCTGTCTGTCTGTCTGTCCGTCCGTCCGTCCGTCCGTCCGTCCGTCCGTCCGTCTGTCCGCCCGCCCGCCCGCCCGCCTACCCGCCCGCCCGCCTGTCTGTCTACAGTAGGTCAGCCTACTTTTTTTCGTTCATGAAGTATTATCTTTCTCAATCCTAAGTTTCGGGCTCAAACAAATTTGAAAAATTTGGATTTTTTTGTTTTATTTTAAATTTTTTCAAAAAATAATTTGAAAGAAATTAAAAGAAAAAAAATGCGACAAAAATTTGAACAAAAAAAGAATTTTGATTAAAAAGTGATATTCGATGGTTTGGGACATTTTTTGCTAAAATATGATATCTTAATCCACATATCAAATATATATCTTCACGTGATATTCGATCTATATCCTTGCAACCATGGGATAATATAGGAATATCTTATGGTTTTGTAAAAATATCATTTATATCCATGAGTGGAGATATGATATCTTCACGAGTGAGCGCAGTTGATGAGTGACGATATTGATATCAATGAATGGATATAAATGATATTTTTTAAAACCAATGGATTGTCCGTTTATCCCAGGGAAATCATTACCCATTAATGTCCATGAGTGGATATATGATATCTTCACAAGTGAGCGCAGTGAATGAGAAAAGATATTGATATCCATGAGTGGATATAAATTATATTTTTTCAAAACCATAGGATTGTCCGCACATACATATATATCCCCGCTGTATATCTCTCGCTCCAATATTCCGGGGAAAACGTTTTTGTCCAGTGTAGAAACAGTCGATTTTTTATATGTTATATCTTGCAAAAGCGAAACTGTCAAAATGGATGCAGCAGACGGTAGCATTTCTTTTGACCAGAATGTTGATGTTTTTTCCAAAATAATGAGAATGAGAACACTTTAAAAAACAAATCTGCACTATTGGTGTCCTAAAAACCGCACTCATGAAATCTTACTTGTCATGAGATAAATCAGTTATGCGATGCTCGGTTTTTAATATGGGGTATATCCCTCGGGAAATATGATATCTTACCTCGGACCGTCCGGGCCCTCGGTAAGATATCTATATTCCCCTTAGCAAGATAGGATATATCCCAAATACAGAACCTCCCATAACCCTCATTTATCCCATGGTTGCAAGAATATAGATCGAATATCACCTGAAGATATATTTGATATGTGGATCAAGATATCATATTTTAGCAAAAAACAACCATCGAATATCACTTTTGAAACCATCGAATCTCACTTTTTCATATTAGAAAATTTGAAACCATCGAGTATCACTTTTTATATTAAAAGTGATATTCCATGGTTTCAAAAGTGATATTTGATGGTTTCGATTTTTTAAAATTTCGTATACTTTACATCAAACAACTGATCAACAGAACAAAGCAGTCTGGCATGTAAAGGAGAAAGTGAAATAGTCTAGTCTGCCGGAACAGTATGGCTTTCACATAAGTGATACAATAATGGCAATACGAATTGCTATTATTTCATACTTGAAATTATCTGCAACTTTACCCATAGGATTCGTTATTTATTGAACCATAGCACATACACAGCTATTCGACAGATATGTTACTTTTAAATTAGTAACATAAATAAACAGCACATTGCTTTTTTAGTCATTTATCAATGGTTCAAAACTCACGTTCCAACCAACCTGTAAAGTGCCAAATTCACGTCTTGCCGCTCGTGTAAAATGAATGAGACCGTGAAATTAATAGTACATAGTTATGTAATACTGATCTCACTCACAATCTTTCGCGTACAGGTTCACAACAAGACGACAAATACGCCCGGCGCTGTTGAATTTACACGTCAACGGGATTATAAAACAAGTCAGACGTGTCGAATGGAGCATAAAGTTACATGATTTGTTGCGCGCGCATCATGTTTCACGTACAGGTACACGTACAGGTTACTATTTGGTGCAATCTTAAGGTCTCTATTATCAGCTGCAGACCTACCGACTGAGATATCCAAGTTAATAATTTTTGGTCTATTCTCGTGTTTTCTCAGTACATGTGCCTCAGAACTACTCAAAATATTAACTGTAAGTAAACTGTGTATAAACAAGGCATAACATGACAAATCCAGAACAGGAGCGTGGTGTATATCGTAAATAATAAGGTTTCAAACGCAATGCCGTTAGACGACTGCGTATGACTTCTACCGAATTCTATTGACGGTGACGAATTGTATTAGTTGTACATAAGATATTTAGCGGACGGTTACGTGCGTGTACATCTGTCAAGTCAAGGTTGCTAGATCTGATAGCCTCTTTCCATGTTATTGTTATAATGGGTAAGAAATGGAATATTGAATTTCCTATATATGTTTTCAGGACTCGCAAGAGACGCTCTTGTTTCAGCCTCTATAAGGCAAGGAAAAAACTGTCGCTTGTTTCATTTATGAAACCGATGAATGTGTAAAAGATAGCAATGGAGAGCTGGGCAAAAGAAGATTTGAGATCAAGTACTGATGAAGATGACAAAGTTAATAACAATGAATCTGGGTTTCATATTTGAATCAGGTTCGCGTAACCGTCAATCAATTTACGTTACGTTACCGCAAATTCAAAATACATTATTCGGTCATTCCACATATAAGGAGACATTTAAGGTTCCAAACTTTTGAAAAATGAACTCCGTTTCATTGCATTCATTTTAAGATTTTGATTTTGTTTTATGTATCCTCTATAGAATCCCAAAGTTTTGGCATTTTAACGTTTATATATCAAAAGTTACACTATTTTGAAAATAAGAGGTGTAAAATTATAAAAAGCGTATAGTTTAAGATT